TGGGGATTTGATTGAGGTAAAGCCTCAGGCTCAGGGTTTTCCATGGGCATATCAGACTGGGCTGCTGTAGGATTTTCTTCATCTCCTTCCTCTCCTTCTTTGCTTGATGATGCCCCTGATTCTTGAGGATCTGAATTAGCTGAAGCCTCATTCTTCAGCTTTTGGATGGGTGTATCAAATTTTGCCATGGTAGCAGCTTGGAAGATGGACTCTAGGTGAGGGGAATTGATATCTAAAAGCATAACAAGCAAATATACCTGAGTAATTGTTATAAAAAATAAAATGGGCTTATGTTTAGTATAATATTCCTGAAGTATAACCAGCTTGCATTGGAAAAAATACTTGCAGATATTTTGTCCATATATAAAAATTTCGTAAGTATTGGTTATTGACCACACACTACACTAGACTAGACAATAGACAGTTGTTAACCAGTAAACTTGTGGCTCTCTGTGTTTAAAAATGTTTCTAAAGGAGACAGCACTGATATTTTAGGAGGTTAACTACCAATAATTGCCATGTTGGTGGTGCCTAAAATGTGCAACTCAGACATTTTTGCTCTTGTTCTTAACAAGTTCCAATTCTTGCTGGACATTGTTCAAACATTGGCCATTATTTTTAGCCTTGTATAACATGAACATTAAAGCTACATAATCAATATAATCATAACTTACAGCTATCACAAGCATAGCACCAAAAGCTCAAGTCACTGAAGCTGAGTGTTATCTCATGGGTTGGATTTTGATTATTGTGATGCACCATGTGCTCCTGGACATAACGGCTGCAGTACACGCTTGAACACTTCAAGCACAACCAGTTTTCACCTACATTACCACACACCCCACATGGTAGTGCTATGTCAATGCTCAACTTTTCTATACCAGCAACCAAAGACTAATGAAAGAACAAAAGGAAAATCAAAGAATCGTTGAAACAATTGAAGAATGGAATAGTATAGAAACATTATTTCAGTGTGAAAATCTAACAGCACTTGGACATACAAACATTTGCTCAAAATTTTATTTGAAAATTTATCAAGAAGCATTTCAATGGGGGTGGATGTTACCTAGAGAGGTATTAATTTTTGTGTCATTTTTTGGTTTGACCTTATCCTTTATTCTTAAAATTTTTCAACTTCAAAGGGGGATACGTAGCTAGCCATCCAATCCACCCCCTGAATCCAACCTTATGTTTTCTCATGGCAAGCCATGGAATATACCCCATGTATCATTTGTCTTTTCGCAGGCCTGAGGTAAAAGACTATTAGAGGGATATGATATAGTGACCATAAGAAAGCATTCTACTTTATAACAGAGTATGCCATGTCATTGAAAATACCTAGGTGTTTAGTCAATAAGCTGGATCAAATGCCTTATGGGAAGAAACTGTGGAGTACTACCGAATATATAACCACTTAACTGCATTCTGCAGATTGTCTGTATTTTAAGAGGTGTAGAATGTAAGGAACACCCCTTTAATATGAATACTTTCTTTCCTTCTGGTGGCACTCCCTTATCAGCAGATCTGTATATTCACTAATACGAACACTTTAAAGTCCATATTACAAAGGTTTAACAGACAATCAAGCTTATACACAAAATAAATTTGACTTGCAGAATTTCCAAGTGGAACTTTTTAGTAAAGATTGCTGTGTCATATATTAACTACTGTAAATAGTGAGCTCTTTGAGAGCCCAGTTTACAGCAATGGGTCTATTAAGCTGACCTTTAACTTAAGCACTCTTAAGTCGACGGGCAAAATGAATTTAAAATCGCAATAAAAGCTTTAAACAAGCATATTTCCTTACATTATAGGTTACTAGTTTTTCAAAAACCTTGCTCCCCAGTTTTTTCGACAGTTTTAGTTTTATTTCATTACGCCATAATTTTAACAGCTTTAAAAAGGTCCTCATAAATAAGGAGACATTTTAGCATCTAAAATGAAATAAAAAGCCCAGGGAAAAGAATGCCGAAGATGAGAATTTGCCATCGTAAAGGCGGAAGTTAATAAATTTATAGAAAAGTAAATTATCTTACCTCTACATGTGGACAGTCTTTTTTGGGGTGTACAGCAAACATGCCTCCTATTTTCAGGGCTTCCTCTTCACTGATCTTAGACGAGGCCATCGTAAACGTTTATCTTGCTTCAGAATATCGCTGATATTGGGTTAAATGTAGGAAAAAATTATGTCAACTCATCACTCTGCTTTCTCTGTTGGATGGCACTTGTGATGAAATACACAGGAGGCCCATGAATGATTTAACAAATGATTAGAATATCCAGAAAAATATTAAGATTGTGTAATTATTGCGTATGTACATAACTTTCAGAGTTTTTCAATCAGTTTTAGGTTTTCAATTTGCTACAATAAAAAAATGTTAAAAGTATTATCATTATATCAATGAAAGCTAAGCTTGGGCTTCCTGTGGTGAAAATTGATGCGCTTGCAACTGGAAACTGGATGACAATCACGATCTCAGGGGAAGGGGGTTGAGGACACAATCAAGAAACAGACGTGGACAGGCATTTGCTTTTTTCCCCCGACGTTCTGCTCCAGTAAATATCCACTATTTTGTACAAAATAGCAGCAATTATGCATTACATTTTTGTTTTTAATTCACGGTTATATGGTATGCACCATGCACTCTATAGAAATTTATCACATGGGAAGAAAGACGCTACCCCCTCTCCCCACAAAAAAGGACACTGTATTTTTAGAAGATTATTTCATAATTTTGTATTATTTAGTACACTATCGCAAATAAGAATTTTAAAAAATCTCTTTTTTCCGGATTTCGTTTGTCTTAATTGGACTCCCTGTGGTGATTTTGATGTCCTCCCTAAAAAATCTGGCCAAGTTATAAAGTGAACATTGGACAAACTTTTATGATAAGTGTCATGCTAAAGACAAGAAAATTCAAGAACTATTTGGTCCTATTTTTTGATAATCATTATTTATTTGGTTTGCACATTTCCTGCAACAGGAATTAGTCTTTAAAGTATTACAGTCGACTCTCCCGTAAGCGACCACCCTGGAGCCAGGGGAAAGTGGTCGCTTACGGGAGATGGTCGCTTACTAAGAGTTAACACAGGAAGCCTAAACAATGAGAATCCCAAACACAAGAAGCCTAAACCATTTATAATTTGTAACTCACGTGTTAAAACTACTGTATCAACGATTAAACTATTTTAATCAAAACCTTGAATGTGCTATATGTTTACAGTACTGTAATTGTCAATATTTCTTCAGGTTTTTAATACCCGATGACTCTATGTTCTTAAATTTTTTATTGTTAAAGGATCTGTCACCATTAATGGCTCTTGGGTGTTCGCTTACGGGAGAGGGAAAACAATGAAAAATTCCAAAATTTTAACCCCAAAGGTGGTCGCGGTCGCTTACGAGAGTGGTCGCTTACGAGAGAGTTTTTTTTACAGAGTTTATATGGGGAACAAAACGGAAATTTCAAAAGGTGATCGCATACGGGAGATGGTCGCTTACGAGAGTGGTCGTTCAAAGAGAGTCGACTGTATATATAATCCTTGCAGTGTAATCTAGCTGTATTATCTCTATAAACTGAGTACTATAGTCCTAATCTGTTTCTTTTTTCCTTGCAGAACTATTGAAGAAATAGAAAACGCGCGCGCGTGCTGTGTGCTGTCATAAAGCACGCGGGGGTTGGCAGAACACGAGAGAAGTGTTAGTAGAAGCACGACGCGTAGCGGAATGCTTCTGGACACTTCTCGAGTGTTCTGCCAATCCCCAAGTGCTTTATGACTGCACACAGCACAGCAAGCAAGTTTTTTATTTCTTTTATAAAATACAAATTACAATAATAGATGGGAATGACGCAACGGAAAGTGCGCGCGCGTGCAATGTGCTCTCATAAAGCACGCGCTCCAAACCAATCAGAACGCGACATTCATAACAGTTATTTTATAATTTTTGATAACTTAATATTGTATAGTTTTTGCACAATATTATGCTAGAACCCAAGTCATGCAATAATGAACCTAATTTAATTTCAGCATACCACACTCGCTCCTACACTACACACTACTACGCCAGTGTCCTTTCTGTGGTGTCCCATGATACATTGCTGCATATCAGATTACAATCCTACAGTTTTCATATTCCCTGTGTCAGCGTAGGGAAGTACGTGGAAATAATCCTTGCTGTCTGTTTTTCGTTCACTCCGAGTTTTTTATTTCCTCAATGATTTCTGCCATGGAAGAGCGTTCCTCAAAGTTCTGCAGCAAACATCTTCTAATGAGTCTTCTGTAAAACGTATTGGACACCCTTGCTATTTGCTGTTTTCTTTTATTTACATCAGGCATTTCACGGATGTTCATCTCACATAATAAAACTCCAAAGCTGTACCCGTCAACCTGTTGAGAAAAAGATCCCATTGAAAAAGCTGCGCTTTACTAGGAGGTTTATTTTCATCATTGAGATGGACCATAAGTACCATCGAATCAGTGGTCTCTTGGACTGATTGACTAATCTGTTTGCTGGCCCTCTTAGGTCAAATTGTTTGTGTTAGTTGCGCTTGGTTGTTTGCAGGGCATAGCTATAGATAGGTTAGGACTGGTCATTATTTATTGCAAGGGGGGGGGGGGGGAGATATTTGGAGGATTTAGGGGGATCACATATTTTTTAGACAACTGGATGAGGGATCAGCTATACTTTGCCAGGTATCAATGGGGGAACACTAAATGACAAGAAACAAAGCTGTAGCAATCTCTACTTAGGGAGGATCAGGGCTTCTTGGGAGATCTCTTAATCTTTATGATTATATATATTCCACAACAAAAATCCTCTGACCCCTGGCCCCCAGGCAATAAATAATGACTGGCTGACCTTATTAGATGTTGGTTTGATTGGTTTTGAAGGATAGTTGTTTTGAATTATGCTCATATGATGATAAACTACATTTCTAGACAAAACTGTTGGTACTCTGCCCTTTTTTACATTTTTTGGGTTGAAAAGATACTCCTGTACACTCTTAGACCAAAACCTTCCTTTCCCAGATAAAGTTATGACCTAACAAACGAGACACCAACAAACCTTTCAAGGCAACATTGGATGTGGGTAGAGGAGGATTTTGGGGTCAGATAACTGAAAAAATTCCAACAGCTTTTGAACAAGATCGTAGTCCCCCAAAAAACTTGCAAATTTCATTTGATGTAACTCAGAGATTGTACTAAATAATCTGTTCACAAACCTTTGGTGATTGTTGTGGCGTATGTGCCTCAGGGGCAGAGTAGATTACAGCACCAGGACAAGCCGTCATTATCGTTTGCAGGAAATTGGCCGTGCCGTAATCTGACACTTTTGCTCGCCAATTGGCACCTTTTTTCCATAGCAACACATTGGCACTGCTGATGTCTCGATGAACGATAGGGGCTGGACGTTTGAGGTGTAAATAGTTTAGCCCTTTAGCAACATCCAGTGCAATAGTCATCAACTCAGAAGGTTCCAGTGGACGTTTACGTAACACTGCTCTCAGATTAGTCTCCAGTAGTTCAGTCACGAAGAGAGGACTTTGATCATCGTTGGTTGCACCAATGAACTGAAGAAGACAAGGATGACGACATTTAGAGGCTATGTTCATCTCTCGCTCAAAAAGTCTTTTGTTGTAAGGTGACAGGATAGCCTGGTGCATTTCCTTGACTGCGACTTCATATCCACCAAATGTTCCTTCAACCACCCTCCCCCATGCTCCTACTCCAATTTCTTTATCCGATAGACGTATTTCATTTCTATCTAGAATCCAGTCACATGATGGCTCATTTGACCTGAGTGACTCTTCAAATTCTTGTTGGACAGTGGCCAGTGTAGTTTCCAGTTCACTTGATCTTTGCTCGCTGCTGTAAAGTCTTCTCTCTGTTTCTTCTCTTGATTGTCTTTCTGCAGCTAAAGATGTCTCTAGTTCATGTGATCTCTGCTCGCTGCTGTAAAATCTTCTCTCTGTTTCTTCTTTTTCTTGTTTTTCTGTAGCTAAAGATGCCTCCAGTTCACTTGATCTCTGCTCGCTGTCGTGAAGTCTTCTCCTTAGTACACGTGATCTCTGCTCGCTGCTGTGAAGTCTTCTCTCTGTTTCTTCTCTTGATTGTCTTTCTGCAGCTAAAGATGCCTCCAGTTCACGTGATCTCTGCTCGCTGCTGTAAAATCTTCTCTCTGTTTCTCTTTTTGCTTTTCTTTGTGCAGCTAAAGCTACCTCCAGTTCACTTGATCTCTGCTCGCTGCTATAAAGTCTTCTCTCTGTTTCTTCGTTTGCTTGTCTTTCTGCAGCTAAAGCTACCTCCAGTTCATGTGATCTCTGCTCGCTGCTGTGAAGTCTTCTCTCTATTTCTTCTCTTGCCTGTTCAGGTAATCTCTTGTCTGATGCTTGTCTTTCTTGATGTAATTGCATCTCACTGAGTGCACACGTTATGTGCTCACTGCCCAGACTTGTTCTTTCTTTTGCTCGTCTTTGTCAGCTAAATTATGACTGGTTTCTAACATGCATATTAACCTGTCTATTTGTTCATCCAGCCATACTTGGTACAGCAAATCATTCAACCAAGTTTCAGGGAGGTGCTCCACTCCTAATTTGCATCCTAACAAGGCTCCAGCAACAGCCCCGTTAGCATCGGCATCCCCTGCCTGAAAATATGCAACAGCGAAAAAAATACAATTGACAAACGGTTACTCATTTATGGTCGCGGCAAATCAAGTATCTTAATTAATAATGGAGTGCATTTAGAAGTGAGAAAAAAAGAGAGAAGATTGGCAGAAACATTCAGAGACGATCAGTATATTTCTTGAGATTGCGACTGCGGTAAAGTCCAGTCCTTTGTCGATTATTTAACTTATTTTTTGAATTTAGCCCGTTTTAAGGATTTTTTCCCCCTTCAGTAAGAAATACTGGTGGGAGGGGGAAAATCCTAAAAACGGTCTAAATTCAAAAATAACCACACAGAGCGAAAGAAGTGCTATTTATCAATGATCAGGTAAAATTTCGAGGCTTTATTTCGCGTTTCAATGATTTTATTGAAATGTTTGAAGAATCCCCTTACATCATAACATGACACCACAGAAACCAAGCTTGGGTTACCTGTGGTGAAGCCTTTCAGTTCCTATTCAAAGTACAATATATCAGTTGCAAGTTTGAACCCTGAAAAAAATATGAAGCTTTTATTGATACTTATATTGTTGTTGTTGTTATTATTATAACTAACAAATTCAATT